GGCAACCCGCCCCGCCCCCCCCCCCCCCCCCCCTCCCCAACGGAACACTGTATGCCGGTAGATCAAGGAAACTGACTCGTGGCATAGGTGAAGGGGATACAACCACCCCGCTGCCAGACACGGTCGACCAAGTCGAATGTGACGAGGCCCGGTGCGACGATATTACGTCGTATATTAGTACATTCAGCCCAGTTCTTGCTGTGGCACCCATCAAAGCCAAGCAATCATGTTATCTTCCGCGACATATGCGCTTCGGGCAAGAGAGTGGTCCGCTCATAGGGCAGACGACGGTACCAGGATTGTGGGTGGCTGCGGGCCATACATGCTGGGGGATCCAGAATGGTCCTGCAACAGGAAAATTGATGTCCGAGTATTTATTTGACGGAGTCGCCAAAAGTGCAAACATTGATAAGCTGGATCCGAGAAAGTTCAAGGTGTAGTGGACGAAACCGAATGAAAGTCGAAGATATGCATTCGTAATCGCCGGCCCGTCTAAATTGGATGCTCATGGCAGTACCACGCTTTTCCCGTACACGCATCCAACATTCCTCTGACTGTTCTAGAGGTTCTGTATATCCAAACCGCTCTTTTGTGCTCGTATCCTCCCGAGTCAATGTTTTGAGGCCCCCTTTTCCCTTTTCGCATTTTCATTTCTTTCGTTTTTGCTACAACCCTCACATAACATGTTGATATAACCCCACCCCTGGGATCGCCAAGCTCGAGGCACTAGCAAGCCGTGGCCAAACCCCACCCCCCCGCCACCCACTTTTGCTTCCACGGCCTTATCGATAGGGTGCCGTTCAGAAATTTTGGCAGGAAACTTGCAAACCTCTCCCGTCGTAACCACCCATCTTTCCGTACCAAATCCTCAAAATCCAAGCCGCCACCATGGGCCGCGAACTCCAAAAAAAGAAGCGCCGCTCGAACCGCCAACCTGTCAAACAATCAAACAGGACCAAAAAAATCCTCAACCCCCGCGGCAACAACATCATTGCCAAAAACTGGTACCGTCGTTCCCCCCCCTCCCCCATCCACGGCCCGTCTCCCCCATCGCTTTGGCTCAAGCTGCTAACCGGCTATATTAGGGACAAGAAGGAAACGCTCGCCCAAAACTATCGCCGCCTCGGGCTCGTTGCGCGGCTCAAAGCTCCCACCGGCGGCGTGGAAAAGAAACTGAGCGCCACTACGACGGGGATATCGAAAGATGACCCGTTCGCAATAACATCCGTGGGAAAGGCCATTGTTTCCGAGGCAAAGGTGGAGCGGGACGCGGACGGCAAAATTATTCGAGTTTTGGGAACGACCAGGTCAAATCCTTTGAATGACCCGCTGAACAATCTTGACTCGGATTCGGAGGACGGCGGCGGCGAGGAATGGGGTGGCATTGCGGAGAGGGAGGCCGAGGAGGAGGGCACGACAGATGTGGTGAGGAGTTTGATCGAGGAGTCGCATAATCCTGCGCCCAAGGCGGCGAGATACCAAAGTGAGGGGGAGAGGGAGTGGTTGGAGAAGCTGGTTAAGAAGCATGGGGATGATTATGGGGCGATGGCAAGAGACACCAAGTTGAATCCGATGCAGCAGACAGCTAGGGATATTGGGCGGAGGATCAAGAAGATGGGGGGTGGATGAACCAGATACCGAGGGTTTCGGTTATGATGGGGTGCACGACACAAAGGCGTTTGGAGTATAAAATTTCACAATATATTTTGATATGCTATAGCAAATACATTTCATCCAAATACACTTCCTTTGTTATCCAGTTAGCCAGTCTATATACATCCCGTCTAGGGGTATCATCTCATCGCCGCCAGCAGCTGCAAGCTACAGACCACGATGGCTCCGTCAGAACGCCAATTTCATTAGGTACCCAAATCTTAGGATCCTCCACACAAGCCCTTGCCTACAAAACCAATTGCCCTACTGCTCATCAAGTACTGCAAAATGCCAAAGTCTACAACAAAACGTCTATATGTATCTCTGTTATGCTTGACCGCTGGTCATCTTCAAAACTACCGGTCCACACGGTCGTAGTTACCGGCAGGAAATTTCACAGGCTCATCGTTATAACTGACCTCCGAGCCACCGTAGGCGTGATCGGCAGGAGGCATGCTAGCACCACCAGAACTATACTCAGTGTCCTGGTTGAACAGCTCATGTCTACGAGGAGGAACGGCACCGTATCGATCAGGATCTTCAATATCTTGGCTGTAGGGATTTGCGTGGCCGTAGCGTCCAGGCTCGGAGTAGCCATTATTCTCATGGTCATCCATGTTGACTCGCTCGTAGGCTTCCTCATCGTGGGGTGCCATTGAGAAAGCCGCCTTGTCGGGGTCAATGTTGTTGTCGCCGCCACGGAGCTTTCGGTTATCATAGCCAGGAAGGCTGCCGTGGAATTTCCAGTACGTGAGCGTATAGGCGCTGACGAAGGTGGTAGCACCAAACAGAAGGCTGTTGAAGAAAGAGACTTAGCCGAGTGCCATGGAGTGTACCGGGAACACAAAACCTACCAGACAAATACTCCCAGAGCAACAACACCCTTGCTCACATTGCACACTTGCCCGCAGAGGCCCGACGTGTTGTATGCCGCCTGCGTAGCAAAAGCCGACAACCAAACGATTGTGAAGACGACGTCAACCGCTAGCATGGCATGAGGCTCGGCGAACTTTCGAGTGCGTGCGAATCGGGGCGTCATGATAAGATAGAGCCACGCGGGGATTGACAGAAAGAACTGTGCAATGTCAGTCAATGGTCTCTTGTGGCCCACGCTTGGTAGTGTCCGTCATCACCATACCACTCCAAATGTCCATCCATTGTTGCCCACAACCTTGGCATCCTTTCCTGTAAAAACAGCAATCCCCATGCACCACCCGACAAGTCCCAAGAGAATCTGAGCACAGTGCAAGCCTAGCTTGATACGAGGAACTAGATCCGGGTCGAATTCGAGACCCATGGTTATTGGGTTTATGGGTTGCGGGTGCTGTGGTGTTTACTTGGGGGAAGGCGTCAATGCTTTGTCTGATTAGATGTGTTAGGCCTGCGACGGCGTAAACGTATGAAACAGATGAAGATGTCCAACGTTAAAAAGCAAACGAACGCAAGAAGCGTAATTCGCAATTCGCAAAATTGCGGCAAGCTGCGCCAGTCGAAGTCGTAACAGAAAGTCGTCGTCACCTTGTCGCCCACGTCAACCAGTATTCTGCTGCTGTGGAGAGAAGTGGATCTGCAAAAGCCGGAGCAACCAGGTCTGGGCTGAGGCTGAGCGGGCGGGCGGGTTCGAGGGTCGCAAGAACTATCCAAGGGCACTGTAGGGGGCTTGGCGTCATGCACATGGAATCAATGATTCTCAGGTCTCGCCATGAAAGGCGAAAAAGATGTGTTGAAGAAGACAAAAAAGAGAGCCAACGGAGAAAAGGAGATGCTGCATGTAGGCAGACCCGCACGGTGCAACAACTGCAGAAAGGAAGCACTTGAGGCATTGGGAAGCGCCTGCCTGGTACTTCGGGGCTGAGGTCAAGGTCCAGCCAGTCATGCTGCTTCCATCTTGTGCTCCGTTCATTTCGCCAGTCAACAATCAAACCTCTGCGGCACAGCGTCTTGGGCCGTCTGGCTTGCGCCGCCGAGCATCAGCTGCAGCCACTAGATTCTCACACAATGACAGCTATTGTCCACAATTCCCACTCGTAATTGCCATTTATAGGACGAACGAACTGAGAGCCAGTAACATTCAAATCCGGGTTGGCGCCTGATCTGACGCTGTGGCAACGGCGAGACCCATCGACATGCAAAGGGCTGCACGGAACCGCAACGAACCATCCAGCTGTCGCTCACCCAACTTGGGGAGTGAGGCATCCATCCTTGACGATGGGTGCCGGAGAGTTGACAGCTTGACGACTTGACGGCGTTAATGCGCAATAGGCAAACTGCGCCATCAGTCCGGGGCCCTAAGGCGGACTGTCTCGCATTTTTGTGTTGCATTGTTGATGGCGAGGCCGCAGTGAGGCGGGTGGGGGGGGGGGGGGGTGTTTTTTTTTAGCTGGATTTTAGATTAT